AGGGCTGCCCCCATAATATGTTTTTAAAATCGTTTGTATCTCCTTGGTGTTGCTAGTGATCTCTCCTTTCTCATTCCTGATTTTATTAATTTGAGTTTTCTCTCTCTTCTTGTTAATAAGGCTGGCTAATGGTTTATCTATCTTATTAATTCTTTCAAAGAACCAACTCCTGGTTTTGTTGATCAGTTCCACAGTTCCTCTGGTCTCAGTTTCGTTGAGTTCTGCTCGAATCTTTATTAAATCTCTTCTGCTGGGTGTAGGATCTCTTTGCTGTTTTTTCTCTAGCTCCTTTATGTGTAAGGTTATCTTTTGTATTTGAGTTCTTTCCAGTTTTAGGATGGATGCTTGTATTGCGATGTATTTCCCCCTCAGGACTGCTTTTGCGTTCAGATTTTGAACGGTTGTATCTTCATTCTCATTAGTTTCCATGAATCTTTTTAATTCTTCCTTAATTTCCTGGTTGATCCTTTCATCTTTTAGCAGGATGGTCCTTAACCTCCACGTGTTTGAGGTCCTTCCAAACTTCTTCTTGTGATTTAGTTCTAATTTTAAAGCATTATGGTCTGAGAATATGCAGGGAACGATCCCAATCTTTTGGTATCGGTTCACACCCGATTTGTGACCCAGTATGTGGTCTATTCTGGAGAAAGTTCCATGTGCACTTGAGAAGAATGTGTATTCAGTTGAGTTTGGATGTAAAGTTCTGTAGATATCTGTGAAATCCATCTGATCCAGTGTATCATTTAAAGCTCTGGTTTCTTCGGAGATGTGTTTAGAAGACCTATCGAGTATAGAAAGTGCTAGATTGAAGTCACCAAGTATAAGTGTATTATTATGTAAGTATGTCTTAACTTTGGTTATTAATTGATTGATATATTTGGCAGCTCCCACATTCGGGGCATATATATTGAGGATTGTTAAGTCCTCTTGTTGGATAGATCCTTTAAGTACGATATAGTGTCCCTCTTTATCTCTCACTACAGTCTTCCGGGTAAATTTTAGTGTATCTGATATAAGGATGGCTACCCCTGCTTTCTTTTGAGGACCATTTGAATGGTAAATGGTTCTCCAACCTTTTATTTTCAGGCTGTAGGTGTCCTTCTGTCTAAAATGAGTCTCTTGTACACAGCAAATAGATGGGTCCTGCTTTCTTATCCAGTCTGACATCCTGCGCCGTTTGATCGGGTCATTAAGCTCATTCACGTTCAGAGTTACTATTGACACATACGAGTTTAGTGTCATCATGATGTCTATTCAGTCCTGTTTTTGTGGATTGTTCCCTTGGTCTTCTTCTTAAAGGGGACTTTTAAGAGTCCCCCTTAAAATTTCTTGCAGAGCTGGTTTGGAAGTCACATATTCTTTTGGTTTCTGCCTATCTTGGAATCTCTTTATCTCTCCTTCCATTCTGAATGAGAGCCTTGCTGGATAAAGTATTCTTGGTTGCATGTTTTTATCATTTAGGGTCCTGAATATATCCTGCTAGCCCTTTCTGGCCTGCCACGTCTCTGTGGAGAGGTCTGCTGTTACCCTAATACTTCTCCCCATAAAAGTCAGGGATTTCTTGTCTCTTGCTGCTTTAAGGATCTTCTCTTTATCTTTGGAATTTGCAAGCTTAACTATTAAATGTCAAGGTGTTGAACGGTTTTTATTGATTTTAGCAGGGGGATATTTCTGTCTCCTGGATCTGAATGCCTGTTTCCCTTCCCAGATTAGGAATGTTTTCAGGTATGATTTGTTCAAATACATATTCTGGCCCTCTGGCCCTTTCAGCGCCCTCGGGAACCCCAGTGAAACATAGGTTTTTCTTCCTCAGGCTGTCATTTATTTCCCTTAATCTATCCTCATGGTCTTTTAATTGTTTGTCTCCTTTTTCCTCAGTTTCCCTCTTTGCCATCAACTTGTCTTCTATGTCACTCAGTCGTTCTTCCACCTCATTAACCTTCGTCGTTAGGACTTCTAGTTTGGATTCCATCTCATTCTATTGATTTTTAATTTCTTCCTGATTAGTTCTAAATTCTGCAGTCTCTTGAACCCTTTATGCTTTTTTCTAGAGCCACCAGTAGCTTTATAATAGTGCTTCTGAATTGGCTTTCTGACATTGAATTGTAATCCAGATTTTGTAACTCTGTGGGAGACAGGACTGTTTCTGATTCTTTCTTTTGAGGTGAGTTTTTCCTTCTAGTTATTTTGCTCAGTGCAGAGTGGCCAAAAACAAGTTGTATTGAGAAAAGGAGAAAAAGAGAGGAGAGAAAGAAGAAAAGAAAAGAGAAAAAGAAAAAAGAAAAAAAAGAAGAAGAAAGAAAAACAAGAGAAGAAAAAGAGAAAGAAAAAGAAAGAAAGGAATAAAAGGGTGGGGGAAGCAAACAGAAAGCAAAAAAAAAAAAAAAAAAAAAAAAAAAAAACCACGGGGAAGTATCCTCTGATTCTGTATACTGTAAGTCCCTTGTCTTCCCCTGGAACTTTCCAGTGCTGCTTGGTCAATAATTTGTTTTTCTCCTGTATGTCTAGCTTGTCTTCTTGGGGAGGGGCTTGTTATGCTGATTTTCAGGTGTTAGCACTTGGGGGAACTGCTCTGCCCCTGCCTGCTGCAGGGCTCAGCGGGGGTTGTTTACCCCGTGAGGCCCCAGGAGGAACAACCCCAGTGGCGGGGCCAGCTCTGGAGCCCTGGAGTCAGCCCTCGCAGAAACTACGGGGCTCTCCGTCTGCAGGGCCTGGAGGCTCCGGGGCGGGGCCGCTGATCTGCTCAGCTCGGGGCCGGAGCGTCCTTGCTGTCCTGGGCCCTCCCGGCCTCTGCCTGTCCCGGGGGAGGCCGGATCCTGGGCTGTGTCCCGGCGCCCTGTGCTCCGGGGCCTGCGCTGTTGGATTCGCTCCCGCCCCGCAGCCCCGCGCCTCCGCGGAGCCGCCGCCCGAGCCCCTCCGAGCTGCTCCGGGTCCCGCCGTGCGCGCTGCAGCCCTTAGGGAGCTCGGCGCACTCTCCCGGGGCGAGGGCATCCCCGCCCTCCTGGGGTCCTGCTCCAACTCCCTGCGAGCCCCTTGCCGCCCGGGAAGGATGGTGCAGCTCCTGCTTTTCCGGGACGGGGCTCTCCTGTCCTGGGGACACTCGCCCCGGCCTCAGCCCGGCTCCTCGCGGGCCCCTCCCCCTGGAGGCCTTTTGTTCCTTTATTTCTTTTTCCCCCCGTCTTCCTGCCTTGATAGAAGCGCGAACTCTTCTCACTGTAGCATTCCAGCTGGTCTCTCTTTAAATCTCAGGCCGAATTCGTAGATTTTCAGGATGATTTGAAGGTTATCTAGGTAATTTGGTCGGGACAGGTGACTTGGGGACCCTACTCTTCCACCATCTTGCCCCTCCCCTGTTCAGATTTTCTATCTGAGAGTTTATATGTTTTTAGCAATGCATCATTTCATCCAGTTTACCTAATTTGTTGGCATATAATTGCTTATAATTTTCTCTTATAGTTTGGGTTCATTTCTTTTCTTTTCTTTTTTCTTTCTTTCTTTCTTTCTTTCTTCTTTATTTTTTTGATAAGTCTGGCTAGGGACTTACCAATTTTGTTAATTCTTTCAAAGAACTAGCTCCTTGTTTTGTTGATCTACTGTATTTTTCATTTCTATATCACTTATTTCTGCTCAAATGTTTATTATTTCCCTTCTCCTGCTGGATTCAGGCTTCATTTGCTGTCTTTTTTCTAGGTCTTTTAGGTGTAAGGTTAGGTTTCATATTAGAGACTTGCTTCTTGAGGTAGGCCTGTGTTGCTATCTACTTTCCTCTTAGGACTGCCTTTGCTGAACCCCAAAGGTTTTCGACTGTCATGTGTTCATCTTCATTTGCTTCCATGGCTGATCTGGGGAGCCCTGGAATCTTTGACTTACCCTCAGCTAGATCTGCACTGACCCACCATAGTGAAGAAGAGTGTGGTACTAAGGTAGACCAGATGTCCTGGGTATTGTGAGGGGGACATGGGGAGGAAGAAAGAGGAGTGGGTAGGGAGGAGTGTGAAGGAAGTAGGTGAGAGAGGGGAAAGGGGGTAGGAAGAGAAGTTGGGTGTAGAGGAGCAGGAGGGGAAAGAGGAAGGAGAGGATGGGTTAGAGAATGAGAAGGGTAACGAAGACTCATAGGAAGGAAAGGTGGATGGGGGAAGATGGAGAGGAAGGGGGAGGTAGGGAGGGAAGAGAGAGATAAAGGGAGAATGTGGGAGAGAGGTAGGTGGTTAAAGAGATATTGGAGGAGGGTAAGGTGGATTGAGGAGGGAAAAGAGAAGAGAGGAATGGCTAAAGGAGGGGAAGGAGAGAGAAGGGAATGAGAAAGGCTAGCATTTACTGAGCAACTACTTCACATCTGGCACTGGGTTCAGTGCTTTCCAAATACCCCAAGTATATTTCAGAAAAACACCACACTGTGCATATTAATATATCCCAGTCAGCTTGGGCTGTGTAAAAAATACCACAGGCAGGGAAGTTTGTTTAAACAACACACATTTATTGTGTCCTAATCCTTGGGACTGGAAGTCTCAGATCCAGCTGTGGGTGGGGCTGGCTCCTTCTGAGGTCTCTCTCCGTGGCATGTAAACACTATCTCCTTACTGTGTCTTTGCATGGTCATCCACCAGTGTGTATCTGTACCCTAATCCACTCTTCTGATAAGGACTCCCATCATATGGGATCAAGGCACATTCTAGAGACCTCCTTATGACTCAAAAACCTCTGTAAAAACCCCATTTCCAAATACAGCCCCATTCTGAGGTCCTGGGGGTTGGAGCTTTGGCATGTGAATTTGAGGGGACATGGTTCAGCCCATAATATATTCTTAGTATAGTACAGGGAATGAAAAGGAAGATGAGACAGGGTAATTCAGAAAGGTGTACCCTTGTATGGGTATAGCTGGGATGTAGAATGGATATGGTTTCCCCAAATCTTGAATGGGCCAGAGGGGAGAGATCATGGGTCTTGATGGAAGAGGCTCCCCACCTTCTGTCTCTGGCTCTGAGGAGAGCCCAATGCCTCTAAGTCCTGGCATTCTGTGCAAATGGTCAGGGGGTTAGGGTCATGAGTCCAAAGGCAGAAGAATGGCCTCAGGGGTACGGAGAAAGAGAGTCCAGAGAATGTGTAGATGAGGGATCCACTGCCCACATTGTAGAAGGAGACTCTGCCAGCCTCACAGTCCAGGAGAATGCCGACCTGATGCAGGGGTTCAGAAGGGTACAGGCGAACCCTCGGGAAGGTGAGTGCCCAGAATGTCTGCTTGTACAGCTCTAGGGCCCAGAGTCCATTCTTGGGGGCCTTGGGGATCCTTCCCTTCGGATCCAAGCTGTCCAGACACACGCCCAAGTTCCAGGCCTTCCTGTGCCCCACCTGGACCACCCAGTAATACTTCCCAGCAGAGAACTGCTCCCGGGCCAGCACACAGGGGTCCTGGTCGAATCTGCTGGGGATGTCGGGCAGCTCTTGGTCAAAGAATAGCCGCCTCACACTCTTCCCGTCCTCATACAGAGCAAGTTTGGGGCTTGCGGTGTCAGGGTCCAGGGATGGGCTGACTGTGGGAAGAGAAGAGGTTCAGGTCTGGGGGTTTGTGTCTCTAACCTACACTCCTGCATGGAGGGGACCCCAGGACCTCTGGGAGAGGTGACCACAGCTTCCCTGGGTGTCCCTGTGCTTCCAGCTTTTTCTGTCCAGGACCCCATGCAAATAGGCCACCCAGAATGGCTGAGGCAACTCCAGGTCAGAACCAGGGGAGGATTTCTACTAAAGAGGGTACATAGCTAGCACACAGTGAGGTCTACTCACGTCCCTGGACTCCATGTCTCAACACTTGTGTGTGTGTGTGTGTGTGTGTGTGTGTGTGAGAGAGAGAGAGAGAGAGAGAGAGAGAGAGAGAGAAACAGAGAGACAGAGACAGAGACAAAGAGAAGTAGGGAACAGATAAAGAAGGAGACAAAGGCATTGGGGGAGAGATATAGGGGAGGGATAGTAACAGAGACAGAGAGATAGGGAGAAATAGAGAAAGACAGGGAGACATAGGGAGAGAGATAGAGACAGGAACAGAGAGAAAGATAAGAATAGTTAGAGACACAGAGAAACAAGATAGCAAGGAGAGACAGATAGGCCCAATTACACAAGGAGAGAGATAGACAGAGAGACAGATAGACATGGACACACAGAGAGATAGAGACAGAGATATAGGGAAAGAGACAGATACAGAGACAGAAAAACAGAGAGAAGGGGACAGATAGAGATAGATAAATAGACAGGGGAGATAAAGAAACATAAAGACACAGAAACACAAAGAGAAAGGTAGGGAGACAAAAAGAGACACAGAGAGATAGACATAAGAGAGAAGGACAGGGTCAGAGAGACAGAGATAAAGAGAGACATAAGAGGACATGGAGGGATCCCTGGGTGGCGCAGCGGTTTGGCACCTGCCTTTGGCCCAGGGCGCGATCCTGGAGACCCGGGATCGAATCCCACGTCGGGGTCCCGGTGCATGGAGCCTGCTTCTCCCTCTGCCTGTGTCTCTGCCTCTCTCTCTCTCTCGCTCTCTGTGTGACTATCATAAATAAATAAATAAATAAATAAATAAATAAATAAATAAATAAATAAAAAAGAGGACATGGAAGGATGCAGGGGACATGAGATGGTGCCACAGGTGTTGATGCAGGTGCCGTTGGACAGCTCTGGGGTCAACGACTGAGGAGTCCCATGTGGAAAAGCCCGAGAGGCATCTTAAGGAATCCAGAAGCTGCAATGAATACACCTTCCAAAACAGAGCCCTCATCTCCTGCCCTGCCAACCCTCTCAGAGCCCTCAAGACCCCAACATGTGACCTGGAGGAGGATCTGTCTACATTGGGCTCCATTCTAGTGGCAGGGAGGGTGTGTGGGGACCAGCTGGGTGTCTAGCTGCCAAGCAGGCACCTTCCTTCTGAACAGCAGAAACCTCCCAGCCAGTGTCCATCCTTGCCCATTCTAAAGCCAGCTATGCTGTTGTTTGCTTGAGTTTGCACCCAGGTGCCCCAGACACTCATGTTTCCTGACCTTACATCCCTGTCACTTGGACATGATCCAGCTCTCCTACATGAACCCCAGATTTCTTCCTGATCTCTACTTCCTTCTGGCTAGAACCGTGTTCCCTTTTGCTTTCCAGTAAAGACCATATATTTCCCCACAGAATTCTCATTGCTGCTTCCTGAATTGTCCACTCTGACTCCTTCCCTGTAGAGTCAGCCATGGGGATGGAGCCCTCCCATGTTCCATGATTGCCAAATACGGACTCCCTGGCTGAACAATGAGCTTGGTTCCTTCTACCGCACATGCTCTCATTAAATTAAAATTATCCACATTAAAAAAGTAGTTTCAGACTTACAAAGAAGCTGAAAAATAGCACAAACATTATGTCTATGACAACATTTTGCATAACCCACAGTAAAATGATCAAAATCAGAAAACTAAGATTGATGCAAAACTATTCAGTAATGAGTTCTGGCCCACCACTCCACACCTGGCAGTGGAGCACACCTGTGCCATCCATCCTGTGCTGGACCACCCAACACCTGGCTGCCAGTGTAGATCTGTGCTTCATCCTATTCAAAGCTGTGGACTATCTTCCCTTTAAACTTGTTCCCTAGTTTGTTTCCTTTCCCTCATGCATCTTCACTCCAGAAAATTCCTTTTAGGTGACACACATATTACCACGGACCTTAAAGTAAAACCAAAACAAACCCAAACAAAACACTCCACCTGATTCCTCCCTCAACAATTGTTAGCTCACTGCACAGGTAATCTTTGAAGTTTCCCTCCAGCTGTCTCCACAGGGGACACTGCTCTTGCATATCACACTTGCCAGTTTTTCTGAGTCACGTTCCTGTTCTAATTTTACTCCACTCTTCAACTGCCAGGGACATGGCCAGCTGGTCCTTCAACACACTGTATCTGCGGATTTCTATGGGGAAGCCTCCCCTGACCCTCCTACTCGAACAAGACTCCTGCTCAAAGAGACCTTCAAATTCCAGGTTCTCCAAGGCTAGACCTTTGATATTTCTTTCTTTCTTTCTTTCTTTCTTTCTTTCTTTCTTTCTTTCTTTCTTTCTTCTTTCTTTCTTCCTTTCTTCTTTCTTTCTTTTCTCTTCCTTTTGAAACCGTTTTTTTCTTTAAGAAGAATTTTTGAAGAGTAATTTTAGGTGTGCAGATAAGTGGAGCACTCCATGGTTCACTTTCCTCAATTTCAATGCCAGATATATACCACGGACTCCAAATTCCTAGCTCCAGTCCACACTTCTCCTGGAGTGCGAGACTTGTATATTCAAGGATTTATCTGATGTCCCCAGTTGTATATTGAAAACATTTCAGTCTTAAGAGGTCTAAGATGATTTTCATTCTTTTGCCTAAATATATCTTGTTTTGCCCCAAACCTTCTGTTAGATGGAGCCACCATGGGCCGAGGAACTCATGCTACCTAGGGTCACCTTGGGTTCCTCACTCTGCTTTGCCCTTGCTGGACCCTGTTACTTGTGGCCCCAGGACCCATTTTGGGGCTGTTTCCTCTCCTCCATCAGCACATCTCCTCTGCTTAAACCCCCTCACTCATTTTGAACCTTGCTTCACATAACATCCAGACCCCTGCCTGAGCCTTCCAGGCTCTGCAGGTGTGGACACCCACAAACCCTGGTGCCTCCTCTACATACTCAGCTCTCACATACCACAGACCCCATTCTCCCTGCCATGGTTGGGGGTCCACCTCTCTTTCTCCCAAGGTGGTGGCCCCACTGTCACCCAACCCTTCATTTGGGTGTTACCATCCCACCATCCCCAGGGGCCTGGACATCCCACATGAACTCTTCTGGCCACTTCATTATTGTATTCCAGTCTGTTCCTACAATATTTACCCTGATTAATTCTAGTTTCAGTTAAAGAAAAACTACTGGCTGATGGCTTGCATCCTCACATACATTCTATGCTCCATGAGGTCAGGAGGAAGCCATTTTATTCACTAATAGATGGCTGACTGCTGGCATAGGAGGTGACTGGTCACTATTTTACGTGAATGAATGAGTGAATGAATGGGTGATTGGCTTCTCTCTGTTTCCTCCTAGACCCTCAACAAGTGTCTGTGCTCAGGACATGTGTTTCCAGTTGCCCTGACACCTCTCATCTGCCTGGTTCATGGTCTGCAGCTATACCCTTCCCTGTTCTGGGGGTTCCTTGTCCATGGCCAGACTGTACCCTCTCTACCCCAATCTCCTACCAAGAGAGTGTCCTGGGGTAGAAAGTCACTGGTTCTGCACTCTCTGTGGTAACAGGTTGCCTTCCAGTGGCTGGCTGTCTTGCTGCCTCCACTCTGCAGGTCTGTACCTCAGCTAATAAACAGGAGCTAAGGTCTCCCACGACAGCCAAAACTTGATGTTTAGAGCCACATGGCTGCCACTCAAGAACATTTAGGACAGCACTTCAGCACTCTGGAATAAAAAGGAACACACGCACACACTCCCACACCATACACACACAGGCACACAGACATACACCAGTGCATATGCATGAGTATGTACACACACGGGTGCAAACATATGCACATTAAGGTACAAAACGCACACACAGCACACACATACATGTGCACATAAACACACAGGCCAGGGACACAGGCTTCCAGGCCCCAGCATGATCTCACCATAGATAATCACATCTTCTGTTCTGCCTGCAAGAAAACAGAAAGATGTGAAACTGTGGGATTGTGCTGATCCAGTGGGGCCAAGGTTCAATTTCGTGGAAGCTAAGTCAAAACAAGATTTAATGAATTCTAGCTGTGATCCTGTGAAACAGGAACAAATATAGGTCTTTCAGTGGCCAATAAAGCAATAACCAGGGTCATTTTCTTTTTAAGGAAGGCTTTTGTGAAGCACATCCAGATGGTCTAGGCTTCCCACCTCTGTCATGCGGACATCTGTTCCCAGGCTGGGGTCTGAACACTATGGGCAAGGACTTAGGAGGCAGGGAGGGCAGTGGATGGGTAAGTGCAACAATGCAAACTGATGATAATCCTGCACCCATAGCAGGATGCTGTCACATGACAGGCACGTTGATGCTTTTGTCACTTGAGCAATTCTCAGGATGCTCTCATCACCCCTGACTGATAGACCTTCTGGGGCTCAAGTTCACATCTCTCTGTCTCTGAGACAGAGACCCTCCATCGTTCCTGAAGTCACCTGCTGAAGAGCAGCTGAACACCTCTCACAGTCAGAGGATTTTACTGGGCACATGGTAAGTGGGCAGTCCTCGAGCTGTGTCCTGGGCAGGCCCCTCCCATTCCTCCCATGCTTGAGGGTGTGCACAGGAGAGACTTTATGCAGGGCTCCACACCTGTGCCCTGGCTGGAAGGGGTGCTTCTGCCCTACCAGGGCCTGCTAACCTTGGGAGCACTGCTCCTCTGCTCTATACCGTCTCTCTTTTTCCAGCTCCACCCTATTCCTCTCCCCCTTACATTTCTGGAAGAGACAGGTAGCTCCAGCTATGGCAAGCCCTGCTACAGTGAGGATCAGAGGCAGCACAGTTCTCCACGTCATTGATGGCAAACTTCTGGACAACTGAGCTAAAAGAGAGCCAGGTAAGATATCAGGGTAAGAGAGCTGATACACACACACACTGTGTTCTTAGGACACACACACACACACTGCAGGGTTCATGAGTCAGGGGGCATAATGTTTCGAACTCACCTGAAATAACTCAGAGAACACTACTTGTGTTTGTACAGAGAAATTATGACAGGTGCAAAATCAGGAGAAATGGTAGATAAATGGCAGAGTGTTAAACACTGGATGGGTCTGCACACCAATTTGCATGATATTCTTGCAAATTTTCCACAAGCTTGAGGTTATTTAGAAGTGAAAATTTTATACAGAGTGAAACTTGGAAGCCTAGGCTGTGGTCCATCAAGCCCACAATGGTGGTCTAAACAATGGAATATTGTTTAGCACTAATGAGAGAGGAAATAATGTTGCAGCCACCATGGAGAACAGGATGGTTGCTCCTCAAAAATTAAACAGTGAACTAACACAGGATCCATCAATTCCACTTCTGGGTATTTATTTAAAAAATAAAAATATCAATCCAAAAAGATACATGTCTCTTATATTTCTTGCACTGTTATTTATAATAGTAAAGATATGGAAACAGCTGAGTGTCCATTGATGGATGAATGGATAAAATTGCTTAGCTATAAGCAATAAGGAAATTGGGCCATTTGCAATAACATGGTTGGATTGTGTGGACGTGTGGCGAGGTGAAGTAAGTCAGACAGGGTAAAATAATGGGTGATCTTATGTATATGGGATCTAAAATGAAACAAAACAAGAAAAAAACACCAAAATCCAAGAAAACCAGAAAGCCCACCTTGGATGCAGAGAATAGATTCATTTCTAAAGTCTCAAAATGTAAAGTGGGAGTGGGGGTAATCAGTGAAATGGGGCAAAGATTATAAATTTCTACTTATAAAATAAAGAAGTCCCAGAAAGGTGACATACAGCATGACAACTACAGTTAATAGTACTCTGTTATATATTTGGAAGCTGTAAAAGAGTAGATATTACACCTAAAGAACTAGCTAAAGAACGAGTTCTAAAGAACCGATCATAAAAAATATTCTGTGATTTTGCATGCTATTGGATATGAGCTTATTGTCTGGGGTGCCCTAAGCTTTTGAGGCCTGAACAGAACAGAACACTCACCAGGCAAGTAGCTCTTGACCACCTTCCTCCTCTGGAGGAGGGAGCTGATGATGGAGCAGGAGAAGCCCTCCACATCCCTGTCCAGGATAGTCACGTTGGACACCACTCTGAAGAGTCCCGTTGTTGGATAGGCAGACAGGTTCGTCAAAGAAGGTAGGGATTGTCCCCCGAAGTCTTTCCACTCCACCTGGGGCTCTGGGTACCAGCCCTCCGAAGTGCACTGTGCCCAGACACCTTCACTCTGGCCAGGTCCCACTTGGATTCTGGGCTCCGAGCCCAGTCCTGTGGGAAGAGACGCCCGTGCCAGTCTCCACAACCACCGCCACTTCCAATCAGAAGAATACAGATGCTGAGAATTCCACCGGTATTAGGGGTTTCTCACAGACTACTTACTCTGTGTAATATTTCTTTGCCATGTGTTACCCTTGTCCCAAGAAAGCACAAGACCAAACAGAAAAAGCCCAGAAATGAAAAAAAAATCCCTATTACAAAATTAGTGTCTTTTCCTGTGTCTCTGTCTCTCTTTCTGCCTCTGCCCTTCCCTCTCTATCTCTGCTTCCCTCTTTATGAGTTGGCTGGGTAAGGGAGAGGAGCAAACGTAGAAAACAAAGCCAGGTGCCTGAAACTGTGCTTTCTAGAAACACTGTCCCTGCTGCAAGCATGTTAGTGCTTCTTATGGGACATGCTCAGGCTCTGGTCATAAAGGGGTGATCATCAGCTGGGCATGAGCTTTGGGGGCAAGCACTCGGGGAGACCAAGAGTGCCAGGAGCTGGCCCTCACCTGCCACCCTCAGCCACAGTGTGGTCTCTGCAGACACGATGCCATCTTTGAAGCTGCAGTGGAAGGTCCCATTATCAAGAGCAGTGACATTGTGAATCCTCACTGTGGCTTGGCCCTGGGCCAGGCTGGTGCTCAGGAAGGTGGTCCTTCCCTGGTACTCTGCCATCTGTTCATCCGGCACATCAATCCCATTCTTATGCAGATGCACGGCTGGGGATGGCTGGTCCCTGTACCACCGCAGCTCCATGTCCTCGGCACTGATATTGAGGGACAGATGGCATGGTAGATCCACCTCTTCCCCAACCACGGCCAGAAGAGGTTTGTCAGGTGCAAAGACAGAGAAGTCGGCTTTCCCTAATGAGAGCAGGTGGGCAGGCATTAGCCAGGCTTGGTGTGAGGAGACCAGGGGCCCTCCCACCCATCCCCAAGGTCCCCTGGGAAGGACTGCTTGGACCCTTGGCTGACAGCTGAGGTGGAAGGTGCCAGCCCAGCCCCTCTGGCATCATCTCCATGCACAGGGCATCCTCCTAGCATGGGGCAGGGGGAGCTCTCCTACCGTTTCCAGAGACGCTGCAGGACAGGAGCTGCAGAAATACGAAGAGGATGGAGCAGCTGGGTGGGCAGATGCCTGGACCACGTTTGTTTGCCATGCCTGCTGGGGATGGAGAGACCTGAGCCTCAGGCCTCGGAGACTGAGTTCATTTCTGTCGCTGTATCTCTCTGTCTCTGTCTCTCTTTCTTATTCTTTGTTTGTGTCTCTGTCTCGGTGGGAGGCCATGCACCACCAGTAGGATAATGGGAGTGATGGAAACATGGCCAGGGGAGAGAAAGATCCCTTGTGACTCTCTTGACCCTCACACTCCCATAGAAGTTATTCATCTTAGAGTCAGAGAGATGACATTCCCACCTGCTATTGTGTCCATCTTCTCAAGGATATCCTTTCTCTTATCCTCATCTGTCCTCAGAATGCCACCAACAAACTAGCATTACCTTGATTCCAAAACCAAAGATCCTATCAAATATGAGAATTATAAACCAGTATCTCTGATGAACATGGATGCAAAAATTCTCACCAGTATACTAGCCAATAGGATCCCACAGTACACTAAGAAGATTATTCACCATGACCAAGTGGATTTTATCCCCAGAATGCAAGGATGGTTCAATAGTCCTAAAAACAATCAATGTGAAAGATCATATCAACAGGAGAAGAAACAAGAACCATATGATCCTCTCAGTAGATGCAGAGAAAGCATTTGACAAAATACAGCATACATTCCTGATTAAAACTCATCAAAATGTAGTAGAGGGAACATTCCTCAATATCTTAGTAGCCACTTCCAAAAAGCCCACAGCGAATATCATTCTCAATGGGGAAAAACTGGGGGGTGGGGCAAGATGGCGGAAGACTAGGATTTCCAAGTCACCTGTCCACACCAACTGACCTGGATAACTTTCAAATCATCCTGAAAACCTAAGAATTCAGCCTGATATTTAAAGAGAGAATGCTGGAATGCTGCAGTGAGAAGAGTTCTCGCTTCTATCAAGGTAGGAAGATGGAAAAAATAAAAATAAAAAAGCATCCAGTGGGGGAGGGGCCCCGCGAGGAGCTGGGCTAAGGCCAGGTGGTGAGAGCCTCTAGGACAGGAAAGCCCAGTCCCGGAGAAGCAGGAATGTTAGCAATATTCCTGGATGGAAAGGCGCTCACAGGGAACTCGGGCAGGATCCCAGGAGGGGCAGCGGAGCCCCCAGGTTCCCGGGGTCACTAGCAGAGGAAGTGCGCCCTGGGGGAGAGCGTGCCACACACCACAGACCAAGCTCCAAAAAGGGCTGTGACACGTGCCTCGCGGGGCCTTGGGAGCAGCTCAGGCGGCGGCTCAGGCGGTGGCTCTGCCCTGAGTGGGCTACACGGCCCGAGACTACGATTCCAGAGGGGCGGGCCCTGGAGCCCAGGGTGCCGGGGGACACAGCCCAGGGTCCGGCACTCCCCTTGGGACAGGCGGAGACCAGGAAGACACAGGACAGTGAGGATGCTCCTGCCCTGAGCATGCGATCAGAACCCCAGGATCCCGGAGCATCCAGGCCAGGAGCATCCAGGCCAGTGCGGACTGGCAGCTGTGGTATTTACTGCTAGAGCATACTCCAGCGCTGGAGAGCTGGCAGCCGCCAGTCTTGTTCCTTCCCGTGTCACCCTGTGCCTGGGATGGAGCGGGGCCCCAGGGAACAGGGGCCTCACAGGATAAACAGCTCCCACTGAGCGGTGCACCTGGCAGGGAGAAGAGCAGCTCCCCCAGGGGCACACACCTGACAATCAGCACAGCAGACCACTCCTCCACAAGACCAGCTTGAAAGAAAGGGGAAGAGCAGGTTCTTAACCATGCAGTGCTGGAAAGCTCTAGGGGAAGTTGAGGAACTTACACTATATAGAATCAAAGGATACCCCTCCATTTTTTGTTTGTTTTTTGTTTTTCTTTTGTTTTGCTTTGGTTTAGTTTTGTTTTTGTTTAGTTTTGTTTTGCTTTATTTCCCTTTTTTGTTCTTTCTTTGTTTTCTGCCCTTTTTTCTTTTTATTCCTTCCTCTTTCCAGTATAACATGTTTTTAGCCACTCTGCACTGAGAAAAAATGACTAGAAGGAAGAACTCCGGACAAAAGAAAGAACCAGAAGCAGTACTCTCTCCCACAGGGTTACAGAATTTGGATTACAATTCAATGTCAGAAAACCAATTCAGAAGCACAATTATAAAGCTGCTGGTGGCTCTGAAAAAGCATAAAGGATTCAAAAGACTTCATGACTGCACAACTTAGATCTAATCAGGCCAAAATTAAAAATCAATTAAATGAGATGCAATCCAAACTGGAGGTCCTAACAACCAAGGTTAATGAGGTAGAAGAACGAGTGAGTGACACAGAAGACAAGTTGATGGCAAGGAAGGAAACTGAGGAAAAATGAGAAAAACAAAAGATCATGAGGAAAGGTTAAAGGAAATAAACGACGGCCTCAGAAGGAAAAATCTACATTTAATGGGCGTTCCAGAGGCTGATGAAAGGGAGAGAGGACCAGAAAGTGTATTTGACAATCATAGCTGAGAACATCCCTAACTTGTGAAGGGAAACAGGCATTCAAAGCCAGGAGATAGAGAGATCCCCCAATAAAATCAATAAAAACCACTCAACACCTCGACATTTAATAGTGCAACTTGCAAATTCCAAAGATGGGGAGAAGATCCTTAAAGCAGGAAGAGACAAGAGATCCCTAAACTTTATGGGGAGAAGTATTAGGCTAACAGCAGACCTCTCCACAGAGACCTGGCAGGCCAGAAAGGGCTGGCAGGATATATTCAGGGTCCTAAATTAGAAGAACATGCAGCCAAGAATACTGTATCCAGCAAGGCTCTCATTCAGAATAGAAGGAGAGATAAAGAGCTTCCAAGATAGGCAGAAACTAAAGGAATCTGTGATCACCAAACCAGTTCTGCAAGAAATATTAAGGAGGACTCTGTGAAAGAAAGATGAAGTCCAAAGAAATAATCCACAAAAACAGGCACACAACAGGTATCATGATGACACGAAATTCATATCGTTCAATAGTAGCCCTGAACGTGACCCTATCAAAAGGCACAGGGTGTCAGACTGGATAAAAATCAAGACCCATCTATTTGCTGTCTACATGAGACTCATTTTAGACCTTAGGACACCTCCAGCCTGAAAATAAAAGGTTGGAGAACCATTTACCATTCAAATGGTCCTCAAAAGAAAGCAGGGGGCACAATCCTCACATCAAATAAATTAAACTATATCCCAAAGACTGTAATAAGATATGAAGAGGAATTAGAGTCATACTTAAAGGATCTACCCAAGAAGAGGGCCTAATGATCATGAATATTTATGCCTCTAACATGGGAGATGCCAAGTATATCATTCAATTAATAACCAAAGCAAAGACATACTTAGATAATAATACACTAATACTGGCAGACTTTAACACAACACTTGCTGTAAATGACAGACCTTGTCAGCACAATATCTCCAAAGAAACAAGAGCTTTAAATGATACACTGGACCAGATGGATATCACAGATATTTATAGAACTTTCACCAAATGCAACTGAATACACATTTTACTCAAATACACATGGAACTTTCTCCAGAATAGACGCATACTGGGTCACAATCAGGTCATAACCAATACCAAAATATTGGGATCATCCCTTGCATATTTTCAGACCATAGGCTTTGAAATTAGAACTAAATCACAAGAAGAAATTTGCAAGGAATTCAAACACAGGAGGTTAAAAACCATCCAGCTAAAAGATGAAAGGGTCAACCAGGAAATTAGAGATGAATTAAAAAGATTCATGGAAACTAATGAGAATGAAGATACAACCATTCAAAATCTTTGGGATACAGCAAAAGCAGTACTGAGGGGGAAATACATCACCATACAAGCATCCCTCAAATAACTGAAAAGAACTCAAATACAAAGCCTAACATTGCACCTAAAAAAAGTGGAGAAATAACAGCAAATAAAACTTACACCAGTAGAAGAGAATTAATAAACGTTCGAAGAAATCTCAATGAAATAGAGACCAGAACTGTGGAACAGATCAACAAAACCAGGAGCTGGTTCTTTGATAGAATTAATAACATTAGATAAACCAGTAGCCAGCGTTGTTAAAAATGAAAGAGAAAAGGGATCCCTGGGTGGCGCAGCAGTTTGGCGCCTGCCTTTGGCCCAGGGCACGATCCTGGAGACCCGGGATCGAGTCCCACGTCGGGCTTCCGGTGCATGGAGCCTGCTTCTCCCTCTGCCTATGTCTCTGCCTCTCTCTCTCTCTCTCTCTGTGTGACTATCATAAATAAATAAAAATTTAAAAAAAATGAAAGAGAAAAGACTCAAATTAATAAAATCATGAATGAAAAAGGAGAGATCACCACCAATGCCAAGGAAATACACACGATTTAAAAAATTTACTGTGAGCAGCTACATGCCAATAAATTAGGCAATCTAGAAGAAATGGACACATTTCTGGAAAAACACAAACTACCAAAACTGGAACAGGAAGAAATATAAAACCTGAACAGGCTGATAAAACCAGGGAGGAAGTTGAGGACTCATCAGAAACCTCACAAGACACAAAAGTCTAACACCAGATGGCTTCCCAGGGGAATTCTATCAAACATCTATAGAAGATGTACTACTTCCAAACTTGTTCTATGAGGCCAGCATCACCTTGATCCCAAAACCAGACAAAGACCCCACCAAAAAGGAGAATTATAGACCAACATCCCTGATGAATATGGATGCAAAAATCACAAGATACTAGCCAATAGGATCCAGGGTACATAAGAAGATTATTCACCATGACTAAGTGAGATTTATTCCTGGGATGCAAGGATGGTTCAACACTCATAAAGCAAACAATGTGATAGATCATATCAAGAAGAGAAGAAACAAGAACCATAGGATCCTCTCACTAGATGCAGGGAAAGCATTTGACAAACTACAGCATCCATTCCTGATTAAAACTCTTCAGAGTGTAGGGATAGAGGGAACATTCCTCAGCATCTTAAAAGCCATCTATGAAAAGCCCACAGCAAATATCATTCTCAATGGGGAAGCACTGGGAGCCTGCTGGGACACCTGCACCC